TGGGAGAACTCCTCCAAAGTGGGAACCAACTGGTAGTCTGGAAAAGTGAAACAATGATGCACAGGATCGAAGAACTGAAAAAGCACACTTATCATCTGCTCATCAAACTTTGAGGTAACCAAGCTAAGAAGCTGACCATGTCTCTTAATGAATGAAGAAGTCTCGGAAACTCTCGAGGCTAAATCTTTGAGTTGAGCAGGTATTTGCACAAAGTTAACTCGGATGGTGTTTCTGCGCGCGGAAGCCATAATCTGCAAAACAAGACAAAGATAAATCCCCTCGGTCTTTGAAATGGTTAGTATAATGAAGTATGCATGCTATGTTATGATGCATGATGTCATGGTAAAAACAAACAACAGGTATAACAGATAATAGGCATGGCAAAGGCAAACAAGTCACACAAAAGCCCTTAAGTTTAAGGCTTGCATGAGGTCAAAGGTATTACCCTCTTGAAGTTCAGTTGGTTTCAACCTGTCCTAGCAATAGTAACCGGGTTCTAGAGGTTCTCAATATCATTGACCATCCTCCATCAGTCATGGTTTCAGCTTACACAATCTTTTCTTGCGGCCGGAACTATCTCGAGAGTATGGTCTCAATGAGCGTAGTATCGAGTATTAACTAGTTCCCAGCTTTACACTGAGACCGGCTATCTCACTACTTCCTACTGGCCAAGTTGGTCGATTATGGGTTCTAAGGTCAGTTGATGCTTAACGACACACATAGCAACCCTGTATTCTCCTCGTTCCTCCACAAGGGATACCGGTACCAACCAATATGTCACATCAACGTAGCTACTGCTTCAACCGTATCGGTCTACACCGTACAGTTCCCTCACAGTTTATTTCTACTTACCTAAAAGGTGTCCCCAGATCCGGGTTAGGATCTATAGTAACTCCCGATACAAGACCCTTTAACAGTAAAGCAACCAAAACAAACAAGAGAAGCAATTCATGATGAACTAATCCTAACGTATACCCCACTTATTTAGTTCCTCAGCAGAGTCGCCAGTTCTGTGATACGGTGGCAGAACCGGACTGTTTTTGAGAAAATGTTGGTTTGCATTTTGCGTTTTTGTTTGCAAAATGTCGCGGTAAGCAAGAGTCGCCACCGATTTTTATTTTATCCAACTGGAAAGGAAAAAAGCACAGAAAAATTCCTTTTTCGAGATTTTGAGTACGGGGGGTAGATTATAGAAAGGGAAGGTATTAGCACCCTTTCTATCTGTAGTTTTCTACGGGCTCTTAGGTACTTGCTCATCATTTTAAAATTGCTTCCGTGTTTGTGTGTTTTGAAAAGTTTTTGTCTTACTTCGTTTTAATCCTTGTATCAGTCCTCAAGAGTGTTACGAAGTGTTTTTGAAAACTTTGTTTGAAAAGAGTGTAAGTGTGGAAAAGTTTGTTTGTGAGCAAGTACCTACTAGCATCTACCTACTCGAAAAAAGAATGTTCTTGTTCTTGTTTCCTTTAGACAGCGTTATCCCACTACTAGTGAGTAGGTAGCACCGTCGTTAGAGTTGTAAGGGTCAATTCGAAAGGGACGTACAATCACTAAAGCAATGTTAGGACGTCTTAGTAATAACCCTAATGTCTTAAGATCATATTCGAGGCAACATTTCTGAGGCAACCTTTCTGAGGCAATATTTCTAAGCGATACATTTGATCTTGGTTTAGACATAAGGGTGACCACTAAAACATCCTATACTTAATGACTGTTTACCGAAGGCAATCGAAGTGAGAGTATACCCTATTAGTGCGCATGTGCGAGTGATTTGATTTCAAGTTATTACCTTTGCACATTTAGGGTTTGCTAACCGTTTTAAAATTAACATAAAGTCTTGTCATGCAATCCTATTATCATACATCTAACAGTTAATATTTGCGGGAATTAAAATGCGGAAAATAAAACTACGCTATTACAAGGCTTCGGGGAAGGGGATTAATTACATAGCCAAAAACCCGTAAAAATGATAAATAAACGAAAAGTCCTAATTAAACTATTACATACCATGAGCAGTTACATTAATATTGTAAAAAATAATAAATGCGCGCGATGAATCGAGAACGAGGAAAATTAGGGTTTTGACCCCCGTCTAAACCTAATTGAAAGAAAAATCATTTTTTTGTTGTTTTTGATTATTTTGAGAAAATAAGGTTTTAATTGAATAGATACAAACCTAATTACTAATTAAATTAAATTAAATTAAGAAAAATAATTGATTTGACCTATTTTTACATTTTTGTTATTTTAAGAAAATTAAATTAAATTAAATCAAACAAACCCTAATTTTCTAATTTATTTTAAATTATGTACAAAAAGGTTAGAATTACCCTAAAATTAAACTAAACTAATTATTAAATCAAATTTGATAAAAATAAAACCTAAATCTAAATTGTTGAAAATTGATTTTATGAGTTTTGTAAAAGAAAGAATTAATTTTATGTTGGAAAATAATTAATCAAAATAAATTAAATAAAAGAAATATAAAATAGAAAAGAAAATAGAATGGGCCTGGTTGTTTCAGCAGGAAAGGGGGTATGATTAGCACTTTCTGGGCCCAAATGCTAACAGCCCATTTTACTTTTCCAGATTCCATGCGCCTGCTTGACTCACGCCCATGATAGACCCTCATGTGATAGGCGTTGGACCTGGCAAGCTGGAGATCTGATGGTTGAAGGATGATGGCGTATGGTGGTCTCCTTGTGCGCATATGTGCCTGATTATGTAAGAAGAAAAATCATGAAATAATATAGGGACCTGGGGATCGAACCCAGGCCCTTTGGCTTTTCCAAGCGCCTGATGACCAACTGAGCTAGCGTACTTATTTGTAAAAAGGATAACAAACAAATATTATATTGAAAAAAACAAATTAATATATGTCAAACGCGCGAATTTTGAATAACCGAATCAGGGGTGCCACGCCACCCTTCTTCTTCCTCTCTCCATTGGTAAAAGGTCTAACTTTTACCTACAGTTGTCTGGGCGTAGGTATAAGCTTGTGTTCCTCCAAAATTCTCTGCAAGCATGGTAAATCAATTCCAGTGGTACCAATCAACTCGTTGCAACCTCACGAGCATCATGGTACCACTTTCCATGGCCAATTATTCATGCAAGCAAAACCCCTAAAAACGAAACCTAAACCCTAATCATGGCAACTTTCTGTATGGTTAACAAAAACGCAATTGAGTATTATCATTAGCTTGCAAATGTTTCAAGGATTCAGAATATGTCCATAAAATATGCTAACAATGCCAGATTTATGAGATACGGTTTCAAAAAATCATAGAGGTCGTGGTATACTTACAGTGCGTATCTAGGCACGAAAATGCTTGCTAATGATTGGGATAGAGTCCTTAGATGTCCAGCAAGCGAATGGTGTGCTTGGAATGGCTTGAAGAAGCCTGGAATTGAGAAATTAGATTGCAACTTTTCTTGATTTTTTTGAAAGTTTTTCTTCTCTTTTCACGCCTCCAATGTCCCTGTTTTTGGTCTGCACTTGTCCTATATGTACCCTATAATGAATTAGGTTACAAGCTTGCTTCAAATCTTTCTCAATTAAGATGATTGAGTCATGATTTGATTCTTATGTAAATTTTTCCAAATCAAGCCAAATCCAATCTTTTTGTAACCAAATGAAGCTTGCACGATTTAATTCTCTTCCCAGCTGTATCAGAGACCTAAACATGCATAAAATCTCAAGCTTTGATTAGTTTTGATATTTTCATGATTTTATTTTGATTTTATTTAATTTAATTGAAATAAAAATCAAAATAAATTATAAGAATAAAACAAAGACAAGTGGGAAGGATCATGGGTCATGGATCATGTTACAAACTCAATGCAAGCACAAAAAGTTGGGCCCATTTGACAAAAAATGCAATTTTGGGCACATTTGACTTTTGGCAATTTTGCAAAAAAGGTCAACTTCACCAATTCATAACTCCTTCAAATTTGAACCTAGAGATGTGTTCTTGGACTTTTTATCAAGCTTAAGATTTCCTATAAGCAACCCTTTTTGTTTCAACTCAATTGAGTCTTCCATGTTCATGTATGAAGCTTTGACCCAAAATGTGTTTTTGTTGACTTTTCAAAATGACCTATAATGTCCAAATTCATATCTTCTTGTGAGTGTATATTTTGAACTTGGGAGATGAATATGAATTGTAGGTAATTGAATCCTTTTCAAAATGAGCTTTGGATGTGTCATTTTTGATAAAGTATGAGAAAGTTATGCTTGGTCAAAGTTGAGATGACTTTTCCTACAAAACCCTAATTTAGCAACTTTTGGGTTTTGATGAATTGTGAGCAATCCTTGATGAATCATGATCAACCCTTGATCAAATGATGAATAATTCTTAAAAATGAGGATGTTGACCAAAAATATTGAAGTTTGACTGTATGTAGGACACAGTTGACTTTTGCCCTAGCACAGTCGATTTTCAGGCCTTTGAGCAATTAACTGAGCAAACTTCCTCTGCAAGGCTTGAAACTTGACATGGATGATCTTGAGAACATATTAGGACAATTGTGAGCATTTGGGATCCTTTGGACTTAAACATCTTGATGCAAACTGAAACCCTAATTTGAGGTTGACTGTCTTATGAGAGGGTTTGTCTGGTCAACCTTTGGACTTCCTTGAGCAATTTGAGGACCTCACTTGAAATGTATTGAGAAATATGGGAGGGAAAATTTTGGGGTACAACACTCATATTCAAAAAACAGAGTACACAATGTCAGGTAACATGTCTCAACATTATGTCAAACATCATTACCAGTGTATTAAGTTGTATGTCAGGAAACATGTCCTAGACTTTCTTTCCCATAATATTCCACATTTTGACAAGTTTGATCTGGCTGCTGGTGAAAACTTTCTTGATGTCCCACTCATTTATGAGTTTTTAAGGAACCATTCTCTCATTCAAAGTAATGTTGCTGATGAGATCCAGAAAAGCAATCTGGGGAATCAAGATGTTGGTTAAGATGTGTCAAACATCCTATTTGACATGTTGGAGACAAAGTCTCAAATTCATAAGGAGAATGATGATATGACCCCTGAGAATAATTTTGCGAGCGATGATGATCATGTCCAAGAATATGTGGAGGAAGATGTTATTGACAATTTGAATGGTATAGAGGTGCCTTTGAACAAAAAAAAGTAATGAGATTGCTACTAGAAAGAAGGCACAACTTGTAGCACAAGACTATGCTCAAATCAAATGGGTCAACTTTGAGTAATCTTCTACCCCTATTGCTCATCTTGAAGCCATTATAATTTGGCTAGGTTTGTCTTGTAGCCTTATGTTCACAATTCATCAGATGGGTGTGAAAATTGTCTTCCTCTATATGTACTTGAATGTGGAAGTCAATCAGGATGTTAGTAATTATGTCAATGACAAGGATGATGACATTCCTTGTCAAAATAATAAAGAGAATCATTGAGAGTATAACCAAGACTCAAGACAAGGCTACTCAAGAAAAGGATAAAGAAATGGTGGATATGGATGAAGAAACTGAAAATAATGAAGAACCTGTTGTTACAATGATGAAGAGTATAGATAGGTATGTTGTTGATAAAGTAAAAAAAAAGTCTATAAAGATAAATCTTATACAATCAAGTGACTCTTAGACATATGTTGAAGAATATGTCTAGAACATTGTGTCCACCATAAGGAGAAAGGTTGGTGGAAAGAGAATTCATATGAATGTTCCTGCTTCCCCCATGGATAATGTGTCATTCAATTCTTAAACAAGTAATAAGAAGTGGAAATATGTGTTTCAAAGAAATATTACAGCTGATGAAGCTTTTGATTGCAAAGAAATCATTAATTTACTGAAAGTTGTTGGGTTTATGAAGACAATTACTAATATTGGACCTTGCTAAGAAAAACTAGTCAAGGAGTTAGTTGTGAACATCTCTTCTAATTGAAATTTTGAAGGAATCATGGAGTGTATAAAGTTGTATGATAGAGGAAAGTGTGTGAAGTTTTCCCCTTCCATCATTAATGACTATTTGGGGAAAAAGTAAGTCTGTAAGGTCTGACTAGGTTCCCTCTATTGACAAGATTACCCAAGCGATCAGTTATAATATTAATGTCTTTAAATATGGTAATGAAGATGTCAACTAAGATGTGTCATATAACCTTATGACATGTTGGTGACTGAGGTTCTAACTCAGAAGAAGGATGAACAAGTTTCTTCTGATAATTTTGAAGTGAATTATGTTGTAAATAAGGTGAGTAACAAAATTCATGACCTTGCTGATGAGATCGTTATTCTTAAGAAATTCCATAGAAAAGGAAAGAATCTTCCTAAGTATGTTCCTGTTTATTCTGAGGAAAGTACAATCAAATGGAATTTTTCTTACTATGGGAGAATGGCTCTTGATAAATTCTATATTGAAGCACTTAAGTGCAATGAAATTGTGGAGCTGCATAGTGATACTCAGTTGTTGAAGATAATACTTAATGTTGGACATTGTTATCTTAAGTTGATGAAGGAATTTGTGGTTAAGAAGGATGGTATTCCTCATGGATTTCTGAATTTGAGTTACATAATAAATATTAGGAAAGATGTGGTTGATATTGTGTATGATATATGTCCTCTGATACACATATATGAAACTAATTTGGTTTTTGATGATGAAATGTTTGAGATTTTTCACCTCAACTTGTTGTTACTACTACTTCATTTTTGTGGGGGTGGGGATATGATGATGTTACTTCTATCTGGTGTTCATAAGAAGTTGTGGGTTGTTGTCGTCTGATGTTTGGAACATTGTGTGAAACATTTGTCCTATTAGCGAGATCTGTTGTTGTTGCTATGTTGGGTTATTGGTTTTGTGAGGCTTGTATGTTATTGGTTCTGTAATGGATCTATAATTGTTCATGTCGTTAGCTTGGGGTGTTTCTAGAATATGAATATGATGTTCTTTCAGATTTAGCATTCAATTTTGGCTTTGGTTTCTGGTTTTGTCCATGCCTTTGCCCAATTGTGGCAAAAAGGGAGATTAATGATCATGTGGGACAAGATGTTCTGGCATGATTTTTAGTGTGTTGTGTTGTGTTGATATGATCTCTTGTTGTGTTGTAACCACTTGTAATCTCATAACACAAATGTAGAAGATTTGTTGTATGTTCAGATGTGTGTTGTGCTGGTGAAGATTTACTCCTGCATATCTTGTAGAAATTATAAAATTTGTTTTAGCCAAAATTTGGTAAAGGGGGAAATTGTTGTTCTTTTGATTGGCTGCTTTAGGTAAAAACAACATTTGATATACAAGATGTAAACTGTGAAGAGGCATCTAGTGGGACAAGATGTTACAGCATTTGGCCTCATTCTGTAGCCAATGTTCGTGAGTAAATCTAAGCGTGATTGTCTTTGATTCCAAGAAAGTTGTTAATCCAAATCAGTTTGGAAAAAGATTTTATTAAATCATAATCCATATAGGCTGAAGAAGATTTAATTGGATATGGTTTAATTGAAAGGTTTTGATTTGGTTTAAATAAGAAGATTTGGTTTGATTGGATTTACATTGAAGAAAAGATATATTTGAATATACTTTGAAGGGATATTTGATTCAGATTTAGTTTGTTTAAGATTGTGGAGAAACTGATATGCAAAGATATTGATCGAAGATTTATATTCCATGAAGAAATCTTATTGTATTTATTTTTAATGACAAAATCTGAATTTGTACTTAATGAGAAAATCTCCAATCTCTATTAAAGGTTATTTAAAGTGTGGTTCAGTTTTTGAAAGACAATTATTCTTAATCTTGTACTTGAGAAGTTGAAATTGTGATTTATATCAAGTAAAGATTTTATTTGATTTGTTCAAGATTCATAATTATATTACAAGGACAGATGTCAGGCCAAATGTTCCAACATCAATGAAACATTTGTCTCAGACTGGTTACATCGAGAGCAAGATACATTGAAGTATATATTTTTATTTTAAGATTTATTTCTTATTATGTTATATCAGATATATAAGTGTGCTAGCTTGAGTTTGAATTTGGAAAAGATCTTATTTTAGCAAAGTTGCATGTGAAATGTTTAATGGTTCAAGATTTGTATCAATCACGGATCTCAATCTTCCTAATAAAGACTGGATTGATCATGTGTGTTTTTGGAGGATGTGTTATGAATCAAATACAACATTATTGAAGAATGTATCAATCAAGGTTCATAATCAAGATTGAAAATCATCATTATTGAAGATTGATCTCATGTGCTTTTTAGAAGTCCAGCCCAATTCATGACCTAAATCCTTATGGACTTTTGTGGCTATATAAGGAGTTCATCTACTTTGTGAAGAGTTAGAGTTTTAGAGAAAAATCTACTCTATAGAAAAGTTTTAGTTAAATATTGTCTTTGAGTTTTTGTTGTAATACTTTATTCCTAAATACTAATTCTATAAGCTTGAGAACAAAGTACCTGTGTGAGTTTAGTTTATCTATATTTTCAATCATATTGTAATTGTCCAAACACAGAGAGAGTGTTTGAGTGAAAGTGAGAGGGATTTCTTATTTAAGGGGAGCCTGAACGAAGCTTCGCGGGTAGTATTATGAAAATGGAATTGAACTAGGAGAGTTTAGAGCAAGCTCATATGTCCTTCTGATTATATATAGTGAAATAGTTCTATAAAGAATCTTGAATAGAGATACACGGGTAGTGTTAGGAAGAGGGACACTGAAGAAGGATTGTTCATCTATGACACTTTGTACTAATACTATTGAGAGTGAATACGTAGATAATGTTGCATCGAACTAGGTTACTAATTATTTTGTGTTCATTATTGCTTTATGACTTATAATCTTGTTTTTTATTATCTGTCAAATCTGGTGTAAAATGTTGAATCCATTGTCTTAGACATCATGTCCAACATCTATTTTTGCGGAGAACGGAATTTTCAAAAAGCAATTAGAAAAACTTCTGATGAAGTCCGGGTTGTAGGAATTTGTGGTATGGATGGAATAGGGAAGACAACCGGGTTGTAGGAATTTGTGGTGTAAGACAACTCTTCTTCTGTTTTATATGGCAGAACCTCGTCATTTTTTTATGCTTGCTTTTTTATGGATTATGTAAGAAAATTTTATAGATGTGATGGTCTAATTTGTGTACAGGAGGAGGTAACTATACATCGAGAGGTTTTAACTTGACACCCCTACACTTATATTTGACATTTCTCATTTTTGGCACATTTATGTTAATGCCCCCATTATATACTAGAAATTTTAAAATTTGTGGCGCCAAATCGGAAATTTCATTATAAAACCTGAAATTTCACACAATTTATCAAATTGATCGTGGCTTGTGTGTGATACTGGAAATTTTAAATTTCTGGGAAGTGCCAACAATGAAAGTATCAAAAAATTGAAATTGAAGTTGCCTGAAGTTGACACCCCATACTTACTTGACAACCCCCCCCCCCCCTATTTTACATGTTTTTACTATTATACTCTTGTCTGAAGTTACTAAATTAAAAAAATATGCGGTTTATTGGAAATTTAGGGGGTGTACCGAAAATTTCAAAAAATTACTTGAATTTTCGAAATTTCCATGAGTTATCGAAAATTTTGAAAAAATTACCGGATTTTTTGAAGAATCCGATAGTTTATTTTTTACTATTATACCCTTGTCTGAAGTTACTAAATTCAAAAAATATGCGGTTTATTGGAAATTTAGGGGGTGTAGTGAAAATTTCAAAAAATTACTTGAATTTTCGAAATTTCCATGAGTTATCGAAAATTTTGAAAAAATTACCGGATTTTTTGAAGAATCCGGTAGTTTATTTTCAAATAAAAAATATAAAAAAATTACACTACAGGAAATTTCAGTTTCAGTGTATGTAGCAATTTCTGATACATTACAAAAAATTTCAGTATATTTCAAAATTATCGATTGTATAAAAAAAAATTCAAAAATTATACTAGAATTTTCGGAAAACTACCGGAAATTTCGTTCTTGGGCACCCCTAAATTTATTCATGGGCATTTTTGGAATTTAAAAAACTGGGAGGCGGCAGGTTAAATCGTCAGACCACATAGATATAAAATTTCATTTGCAGACAATACCGGATATTTTAGATATATGCGAAATTTTCGATATTTCGAAAATTTCAAATTTCCGATATTTCAGAAATTTCAAATTTCCGATATTTCAGAAATTTCAAATTTTCGATTTTATGCTGCGTACTAGAAATTTTGAAAATTTCCAGAATATTACAACTTTTTTGTAAATCGCCTCTTAAATTTCCGGTAAATCATCCCGGAAATTTTGAAATTTCCACTTATTTGCTACCGAAAATTTTCCGATAAACGCACAATTTTGTTATCGGAAATTTTGTAACGAAATCGAAAATTTTCCTTTTTCACTCCTTGACCAATAGTAAAAAAAATTGACAAATATAAAATTTTTATAGGTAATAGTAACATAGACATTTTGAAAATAAAAAAATAAAAAAAGTCAGGTGTCATGTATAAAATGAGGGTCAAGTTAAAAATCTCCCACATGAAACACTAGGGTGAAGAACTTCTTCAAATGTTCAATCGATATAATGCAACTAATTTGAGTCGCTCAAGGGCTCTCATATTTCTCAACAATATTGATCAAGTTCAATAGCTGGAGAAATTAGTTGTGAATCGTTAATGACTAAGTGTAGGGAGTAGAATCATAATATCTTGGAGAATTTTCTAACAAAAAATATCATGGATGTGTTACGGCTAAGCGTTAATTAGCTAGAGGAAATAGAAAAGGAAATTTTTCTCTACATTGCTTGTTTTTTTTCACCGGCATGACGAGAAATATGTTAAAAATATTTTGAATTGTAGTGGATTTCATGCTCATATTGGATTAAGAGTTCTCATTGATAAATCACTTTTAAGCATTGAAGAGATACAAATGTTAGTTGAAATGCATGATATGTTGAAGGAGTTAGGCAAAAACATTGTTAAAAAATAGAATAAAGAATTGTTAAAAGAAACTAACAAGCCCCTACACAACTATCCCTCTAAAAGTGACTGTCTCAAAACACCATGAAACTAATCAAAAATACAATGCTGTACAACAATGATGATAGCAACTTTAGCAAGTAATTGCATTGCTTGATGATATTTCCAGCCTCCACCCATGTCTGTACATAAGAAAAACATTAATTAAACTTCAAATACTTCAATATTAGGAAAGAAAAACAAGTCTTCAAAAAATTACAATACCTTTTCTAAGGACTCTCATCATCTGAACTAAGGTCATCTATCCTCCTTTCAGCTATAGCTGGAAAAAGCCGCTGACGATAATCAGAAGGCAATGGACGCGTATCAGGCGGAGACAATCCCCGTGAAGTTGTTTCCTGTTTTTGAGGTTTTGCTGGTTTCTTCTGTGCATCTCTCACCTCCTTGCATACCTTATCAAGCATTATTAAGAAGTCTCTCACTACTACAAACAATCGCAAGCCATCATCCTTTGCAGCATTCCCGTGAAAGTAATCGCCAGTGCTCTTCACCAGAGCCGTGATTTTCTTCTCGTCTTCAAGCAGTTTCATAACATCAGCCTCTGCATCCTGGACAAAACTTTCCAATGTCTCGCGAAACCCTCTATCATCCTCCACATTCTTCAGGTTTTTGTTCAGTAACTCTTTGGCTTTCAAGAGACCGTGGCCAAGTTTGGCAGCAGTTGCTGTTAAGCTGTCCGCATCTAGAACAGATCCCCTTTTAACATTCTCAAGCTCACTGCTCAAATGTGAAACTACCTCAAGACCAAGTTCGCGGTAATGGTCTTCTTCAGTTTCACGTGGATTATCCTCAAGAAGTTCGTCTGTTTTAATACTGGACAAACCCTGGCTCTCTTTCGCTGCTCGGGCAGCTTTTATGCCCTCGGAGCGGATAATCTCTTGAACGACAAAGTGTAAGAGTGTAGTCTTGCCATCTGTTCCTTTTACATCAGATAATTTCAAAAGTGTATCAAGTTTAAATGCTTGTGCACCGCCACGGTATGTTCCGTCGTTCATACGGTTTCCAGTTTTGAGAACAGCTTCAAGAAGTTTGAGGAACAGACGGCTGTTTCTTAGTTCCTTACAAGCAACCTGACACACCATATAAAAGTTACTCAAGGATCAGATTTTTTTCCCAGCTGAGAATGTGATAAAAAGAACCAGATGTAACAGTGCAGAGATTCAAAGAGAAAAGGAACTATAGCGAGAGGATGCGTGTTACAGTTGCAAAAATTTGTTGTATTTGTGTTTGTGATAGAAAGAGCGGGAGCAATGCAACTGCAAGGGTGGTTCAATTTAAATCATACCTCTAAAACTGCAAAAGACTCCTTAGTAGTAGTGAGTTCCTCTTTAAATGTTCCCTTAAAAAGCAGTGTTTCCATTCGCTTAAAAGCAAAGGGAATGTCAACCAGAGCTTTAAGGAAACTGTCAGCAGGCCCAAGTTGAGACAGATCACCACTAAAAAGTCGAAGCTTAAGTTCTTCATCAGATGTCGGTGCCATCTTCAACAAGGTTTGAAGGAACTCGGGCGGTAGCTCATTTCCTGATCAGCCAAGAACTGGTTAGAAAAGATTTAATACAAGTGAAACAAGACATGCCTAAACAATTTTGCTTTTTTAATTTCTATGTATACTTTCATCATTTTACTTTTACCAGAAAACCAAGTAAGGAATCAAACCCACTTGTTCAGGAAATAATAATCTTAACAACATAGCCAGGTTAACCACAATTTTTCCTTGACCAAACATTATGAAAATCAAAATAATTTTAGAAGAACAATATGCAAGACTAATAAATTACAACACTACCACATTCTATTCTATCGAAGGGGACAAGAAATCAAGAAATGGTGCTAGTTTCTGAGTCCACGTGAGACTATAACAGTTATGAGCAAATTCTTTGGAAAACTAAAGGAACAAGAAATCACCTTCATAGAGAGCATCGCAAACTTCTTCCATTGTTACATTCAATGCTCGCAACAGAATTAACAAATTTTGTGCTCTCTTTTTGTCAACGATCTGGATATACTGGGGTGAAGGGTCTTGGGAGGAGGAAGATTCTTTCTGTCTTTGACCATTGTTTTTATTTACAGCATTATAACCAAAAAGTGACTCTATCATCTCTTCGTTAAACCTGTCAAATTTTGTCATTGAGGAATATTAGCAGCTATTTATACTTTATCATCCATGGTCAACGAAATAATTTTGGGATATTATTACTTACTGGAACGATCCTGATTTGATCTCATTCCAAACCATTGATTGATCTGAATTTGCTGAAACCTTGTCCCAGAAAAATGGCTTTAGTTTGGCTTTAGAACTATCAGCTCCAGCTGCTTCAGAATTCAATGAAGCTTTTGGTCCACTAGCCTTCGGGCCAATTGGTGGTCGAGGAGGAGCTACACCGCTCTTAGGAGGAGGAGGAGGAGGTGGACGAGAACCAGGTTTAGCACCAAGCGGTGCTGGTGGTGGTGGAGGAGGGGGACCGGGTTTAGCACCAGGTGGTGCTGGGGATGGTGGAGGACGGGTGGCACCAGGTGGTGCTGGGGATGGTGGAGGACGGGTGGAACCAGGCGGACCAGGGGGTAGTGGAGGACGAGGAGGACCAGGTGCGACACCAGATAGTGTTGATTGTGGTGGTGAAGGAGCAGCAGGAGGTCGTGCATTACCAACACCAGACTGTTGAGGAGGAGGAGGTGCAGCAGCCGCAGCGACATTAGTATTACTAGAAGGCCTAAATGAAGGTGGCTCCGGCGGAAGAGGATTCATCCTACCTGGAGGAGGTCTTAAAGGTGGCATTCCAGAATGGACAGTTCCCACTCTCCCGGGAGGAGGTTTCAATTCAAATGGTGATCCGGCAGTACTAAGAGCTCCTATTGATTGATTTTCTTGCAGTGAGGTCTTCTTGTTGTCTACTAAATTATTACTTGATGACTGAAACCCATGTTTCTCCCCTTTTGTCGGATTTCCAAAAGTGTGATCGGAAGGACCTGTAGGATAAGTCAATTTTGTCACAACTAGTGCAACACATTAAAATAGTATGAATGAAATGTAATATATGATATGTACCAAAAGAATAGTCATTCATGCTCAAGCTGAGAAGAGGCCTCTCATCATTTCGTCTAAGCCGGGCATTCTTACGAAAGCATAAAAAGAATAATGCTGCAGCTATAAATATCACTGATAAAGTTATTACTACAGAAAGAACAACCGTTCTCTTTTTACTTGACTTATCTTCCGCCCCGTCCGTGTCAGGAGATGGAGGGGCAGAAATATCAGAAGCGTCTGGCGGTGTCAGTCTTGGAAAAAATGGGCTTGGTGACGAAGGAGGAGACGGGGGTTGAGGAAGTAGAGGCATTGGAGCAGGCGATGGAGATAAACTGGGTCCAGGCGATTGAGTCAGACTGGGCTCAGGTGATGGAGTGAGACTAGGTTCAGGTGATCCAGCTGCAGGGCCTGAACTAGGTGGTTCTGATATGTGTTGGAGCAAAACACGGCCTGAATTTCTTCTAAGAATAGAAAACAGATATCCTGTATTAGTGACATGCCGTATCTTGGAATCATCCTCTTCTCTTAAGACACTTAATTGGAGATTATTTTTTCTCAAACAATGAAGAAAGTTTTCCTTGGTGTGAGGATGGAAAGCCCCATGCAATTTTTGGATTTCTGTTTGTGCAAAAGGTTGAATCGTGGGACTAAGTTTATTGGTACTAGCATAGAATTCCAGTGGGAGGCATAAATCACGATATCCAACCTCTTCCTTTAAATGAATAAAATCTTCACAGCATCTGGTCCGTAATACCTTTGCCTGCAGTCATAAAACTTGCAACTTAAGAGTTTATGAACCCATTAATCCAAACAGTCATTGAAGTACGACAAATGATCATAGAACATTCAAGGCCCTGTAATTTATGTGGCAGGTGACCTTAATAACTACATAAATTTATCTTTTTAAATAAAAGTGATTGTTTGCATTAATCCTGCCAAAGGTGAGAGAATTTCATAATGCAATCTGGTTTAATGAGATGCATCTCATGCATTCATAGGTTATAGTCTCATATTTCTTCATCAAGTTCATGTGTTTCCAATGCAAATATAGCACAAGTAAAAAATCAATTACAGGCATTTAGTCTAATGAAATGCATATATTCAAGCAATCCAATATCAAAATAAAACTTAAACTTTGCAAAAACAAGATCTTTGGCTATCCTTAAACTTGGAAAATTAGGTTCTTCTACCAAAATCCCAGCAACTAGTGAAAGGAGCCTTACCGTGTGCTCGTCGTCGAACAATCCAGACACTGAATCAAATAGTTCTCTATCAAAACCATCTTGTGTATCCTTCTTTACTACAAAGCTAACTGCTGCTACAAGATGGAAAACTAAAAGAACACAAAAACTAAATTTAATGACAACCATATATTTCTGAATTCCCATTCCAAGTGCTTGATACTCTTCTCATTTCATCAAAAGACTACACCTCCAACAACAACAACTCTACAATCCCATCCTTCATCACTAAGAAATACATTAAAAAAAAAAAAAAAATTCAATATCCACCACCAACCCACTTCAAATTATGCAAAACCCACAAAGGGTTTCTGATGAAAATGAAAATTTCAAAATCAAACCCAATTAATAAAAACCCCCAAAAATTCTCCTTTCTCCAAAGCTTCAAACTTTCACCGAATCAGATCAAGTGAAGACAAAACCCACCTCAAACAAAGGAACAAAAACTAACAAAAGGGTGTTGAAGCATCAAAATCAAAGAGTACGCTAAGAAACAAAACAACCCTAGAACTACAAAATACAAAGTTGAGCTCAAAAGAAAGATTCAAAAAAGGGGTCTTTGCGTCAAAGAGGATCCAAACTCAGCAGCCACAAAAAAGATTATTTTTTTGCTTAGTTGACCATGAAATGTTGAACGAATCAGTGTTGTTTTGTGGGAAGTGCTTCTTATGTATAAGTTGTAAGAAAGAACCAAAAGGAAAGACTTTTGATGAATGAGACTAAAAGGGTGTTTCGGAGGAAAAGAGGAAAATTCTTAAAGCACTACGCGTAAAGAACCGTCTTAGGAACAAGGGTTCTAGATTCGGACATTGACAAGCTGCCACAACCTCTTACACTACTACTACTCTGTCTTCGTTTTTGTGCTAACATTGATTAATGGTTAAGTTAATATTCATTCGAATATTTATTAAATATAAAGAAAAAAACATATTGGATTGAAATCTTAAAGTACTATTTTGGTTTTAAATAAAGTATTTCAAATTTTAAAAGTCGAATCTATTGACTTTTAGATTTTATTTCTTTTAAAAAATTGAGATTTTAAATTTAAAATGACATATAATTTAACAAAAATGTCTGGTTAATGTCTTGATTCATCATTTACTTTTTATTTTTGTAATGTCATATAACCAGTCAATTCATTATTTTCTTTTTTAAATAATATGACGACACTTATATGTATTTGTTAAAAGTTAGAAATTAATAAAAGTTTTAAAAAATTGTGAATTTTTTTTTCAAATAGTCACTTTTTTCAAAAAAAAAATTTAAATAACCATATTTTCAAATATTTTATCAAAATGACCAATTTTCAAACAAAAAAATTTCGATACAGAGGAGTAGTCACTTTGTGTGGCGTACATTCATTTTTAGGAGGAGGCGTCACACTGCATGGCTTATCCTCCTCTGTAAAGTCAAGCAGTGTGGCGCATGCATGTGTTTTTAGAGAAGAGGCGTCACCCTCCTTGGCTTGACAGTGTTATTGCAATTTTTTTTAAATAAAATAAAAGTAATTAAAAATATTTTATATTAATATTTAATATTACACAACGCATGAATACATTTTTTTTGGACGTCCCCTCAACCTAAGCGGGTCCCAGTATGACATAAACGGTCGCGCCTTTGCCTCGCCCCTTGTCTCACTCCTCTCTGTTGATTTTCCTGAGGTGTTTGTGGTCTGTTCTGACTCGCTTGATTATGAGGTGCTTGATGTGATGATTCTGGTACATCAGGATCATACATCTCATCGATCATTTCGCCCCACTGTGTTGTACTTCTAAAGAGATCGGTGATCGTGTTGTTGAAGTTTGGTCTTGTTGGTTGGGATATGTGTGGGTGGTGGGGTGGTTGATAGTATTGGGATGTTGAATCATGATGGAAACGAAGCAACGGTTCTTGTGGTGTATGAAATTTGTATGGTGGTTGGGTACTTTGATGGTGTGATGTTTGATTGTATGTAGGTTGGGTGGTATGGTAGGAAGGAGATGTATCATATGTGTCTTGGGTGTTGTGGTAGGATGAGGATGGTGCATATTGTTGGTGGTGGATCGGGTCATGCTATTGGTATTGTGTTTGTCTGTGTGGCATGAATTGATGACGGGTTTGGTTGAATGAGGTGGTGTATGGTTGTTGGGTTTGAGTGGGTTGACATTGTGGTTGGGTTTGGTATTGTTGAGGGGTTGGTTGTTGGGTTTGATATTGTTGAGGGGTTGGTTGTTGGGGTTGTTGTTGGGTGTATGTTGCAGCTCTTTGGCATGGGTCGATCAAATAAGTCTCTTGAGACAGAAATAAATTTGTTGAAACTTATGTGTACCATCTCAAATATTGGAGCGTCGGTTTTAAGTCATCTTGCAAGATCGGCTCCCTTAGGACCAATTCATGTCTATGCCTCCATTGACGACATTGATTTTTAGCGAAGTCTCTCAAATTGTTAAATCTCCACTGGTCGTCAACTCTGAGTATATGCCATTGGCCCAAACATGTTAGGGGTCGGGGATACCCTATTGCATGTCGAACTGTAGCTTCACACGATCAGTGTGGTGCATCTCCATAGTAGTGAACCTGATGAGTGTTGTTTTTGCAGTCCAAACTTCAGCATCAGGAGGGTTAATCTCATTGTCGAGATCCTTATACGGCCTCCATACAAACTGTAGAGTAAAAAAAAGTTATATAAAATATTAAACTTAATTAAACTATTGTATGTGTTGTATAAAATATGTAAGTTTAATACCTCTTCGGGTCCAACATGATCAATAAGATTTCGGTAGACTACTATTGCGTTTCTAGGGGATTTGTTGTAATTCATCCCGGGAACAGACCACCTACATAGAAAAAATGGGTAATAAATTAATACATTACATGTCTTGGTATATAATATGTAAAATTTATGGTTTTGTAATCTTACTTTGTAGCAAAGGGGAAGACGAATGGCCTTGTGTTGCGGGGGGCGAGTGTCGGCATTCTCGACCAGCGCCATGTCTGGAGCAAAAAGGCACAAGAATAGAAAGAACAGCTACTGTTCGATGCATTTTTACACAAGGAACTATACAGGTGGGTCAAAACAACTGAATCCCAACTATATGTATTTATTTTATCAAATTGTCTTAACAAGGGTAAATACATGATATTAACAGTATTACCCGTTGTTTCAGGATATAAAAATGGCCAAATAATATCATTATGTAACACTGAGCTTTCACAATTTTTTCTTGCTCGGTAGAGTTTTCGGTTATTACGAGACTACTATGATATTCTCTAAGAAGACGGAGATTAATACCTTGGCATCTTGACCCTTGTTCAAATAAATAGACTCCCAAAAGTTCCTCCCATATGGCATTGTCTTTGTTGACTCGGTCATTTACAGCCTTATCGTTGATCGGTAGACCGAATAACATGTACACATCCTCTAGTGTGATTGTACATTCACCACATGGAAGATGAAAGGTGTGAGTTTCGGGTGTCCATCTCTCCACTAATGCAAGAATAATTTTATAGACAACATGGTAATTGACTATGTTGAGTAACGGACCAAAACCGAAATGTCATAAGTACGTTCAATTTGAACATCATAAGGGACATACTCATGGACACGACAACGGAATCTTTTAACATCCTATTAAAACATGAATTATGTATAAGAAATACAAGATTTACGTATAACAATCATAAGAATTAAGGAAAAAAATTATCGGCAAAAAATAGAGATACCAGAAAATACACTTACAAAGGTTTCAATGTTGTTCGGAGTTCCTCTATGTTGATCATCCATGGTCAAGAGAGACATTTTTTATTGATTACTCTTGTGTTATTGTTGATACTTCAAGAAAGAAATAGTGTATGAGTTATGATTATGATGAAAATATAGGGTGAATGTTATATGTATTTATAGGAAAATCTTGAAGAATACTTTGCATGCAACTTATATACATAGGCGCCACACTAGGTGGCGTATGCTCTTCCTTATTGCACATAGGCGCTACACTAGGTGGCGCATGCTCTCTTTGTTGTACATAGGCGCCATTTAACGTGGCTTCTTGCTTTTTGCATGCATGCAAACCTGCAGCGTGGCAGGGATCAGATGGCGTGTATGCAATTTTTGTTGTTCAATGACAAGCCACCCTAGGTGGCGCATGCATAAGAAAATAGGAGGATAAGCTACCCTAGGTGACACATGCATGCAGAATATCAGTCTATTTAATCGTCTGTGTAGGTTGCATTACTAGTATACATACATAACTCACAAAAAACATACCTCAACAACATGGATCATTCACAAAATTATACTATTGTTTCCCATACTAACGGTGAGACGTTCAACTGCGATAACTTAGGTTTTAATTTCCGTAATACCGATTTTATCCGCTTTCGGATAAACAAGAAATCAGGTTTTGCATGTTTCAAAGGTAGAGTAGAATCCAAATTGCAGTGCCCATTTCTATTTGACAACAACCAAGTCAAATTTTATCAACTTAAGGTGTGAAACGATGATGATGTTCGAAACATGTTTTGAACTCATGAATAATCTGGGTTCAATGAAATTGAGTTGTATGTTTTATTACAACAACCAGATCAATCTCAGGTGATAGATCATTCTAAAGACTTTGAAGAAGAGGATGAATCTGACGAGAATAACCATCCCGAAGTCGATGTTATTGACCAAGAAGAAGATAATGATGAGGCAATGATTGATTTTATGGTCAATGATGACACTGTAGATCAAGAGCGTGAACCTATACCTGCAAGTCATGCATACGACCCTCCGTTTCACACGACGAACTTGAACTTGGGGGAAGATGAATCAGCCTCAAATATCTTTCACAATCCTTATATGCAGACCGAAGGGGCCTTGAAATTTGGAGACAAATTTCGAACAAAAGAAGAGTGTCTTAGAGCTATCAAAAAATACCACATGGAAATTTTAGCTGACTTCACTGTAGATAAAAATAATTCAGGGAGGTACGTTATTTTATATCGTTAAAAACCAATTTTCCCTTTTCGGTTAACTATATCTTACAGGAAGAGAAGTGATTCATGGGAAATAGGTTCCATTAATCCACTCTACACTTGCATCACCACCGTTCTGACACAGGATCATCAGAAACTTAGTCCTCAACTAATATGTCAAGAAATCTTGCCTATTATTAGCAAAGATC